TCAAGACACTGACGGCGGCGATTCGACCGTCGCAGCTGAAAGCGACTGTCGAGCGATAGTTAACGCGTGAGGTAAACAAGGCGTTCACGTCCAACGTGCGTGCGTTCTGCAAGTTACTTTTGACGCTCTTGTACAACTTTATGCTGTTCGAGTCGCAACTAGTCTCTGTGGAGAAGAAAACGAATCAAACTAGCCTCGCCAGTACGGCGAGGCTAAGACACTGCGACATGCGCAGTCGAAGAAACCCGACGGCGAAGACGACAGTATCGGTCGGACGAGCCAGGAGCTGTTTGACGTGCGGCAGCGTCAAACACAAGGTGTTAAGATGCCCCAAGGTGCAGCCGGGCGAGGTGCAACGGTTGCTGGAACAGCGGTTCAAGAAACTGCATGTCGCTGCTGTGGCAGCACCGGACAAGAAGGACGAGACCACGCGCAAGGCTATTTGTGCGGCCGTAGAAGTCTACGAAGAAATCTCTACGGTGTGCCCTCGCACGGTCTCGTTCGACATCAATGGTGTCAAGGCGCTTGCCCTGTTGGACAGTGGCGCTGACCAGTCGGTCGTGCCACCGAAGTTTCTGTTGTGATTAGAAGGCGCCGATCAGCACATGTTAGTCGTACGGTGTTGCGTCTCCACCTGACGGACCTCGCGAAGTCCGTATCCAAAGGCAAATCACGAAGTGGATTCCCCCCTGCGGCAAGCAGCCACTGGGGCTTAACCCTACTTTAATCAGTCAGCTGATCCCAACCACTCGTCCAATTAGTCAATCGAATCGTCCGGCATACTACCCAAGGAAACTGAACCCTTGGGCTGCCTCTTGGGGGGAGCCAAGGGGTTCTGCGAATGGCAAATTCGCAACAATCCCCCCCCAACGATTGTGCCACCCCCAACGCTCTCGCCATCGCCACCACCGTGACATTTTCAGTGTTTGCCCGCACATACATTTTGAATGCGGGCGGCAGGTCTTTGAGCAAGTTGCTCGCGGGCTCCCACGAGTTTTCGATATCTTGGAGGCCGCGCCAGCTCACCAGCACTTCGTACGCGGCCAGACGGTCGTTGCAGCGGCAGTCGACGAACTTGTCGACCACGTGTCCATTAGCATTGCGCGCCCTCGAGAGATTCGTCCGCATAAAACTTCAGCCGACTGCTGTGGGCTTCACGGGCCTAGCCCGTGACCAAATTTCGGTTTTCGAAAATCCAATCCGAAGTTGTCTTCACAACTTGAGCTGGTTCACGCCACGTGACACTCAACTTGGAAGGAGACATGGACCACACGTCCATGTACAAAACAAAGTCACCCACGTCGAGTTGAGCCATTTCGACGCCTTTCGTCTTCAGTCTTCTTTGGCGTTTCTTGAGGCGTTTCTTCGACGACGCCTCCACAATCTTCTCGTGCATACTGTCTAGAGACAGTACTAACGACTTGAGCTCTTCTTGGCGCAACGACCACAGTTCTTCCAAGGTCGTTATTTTCGTCGGACCGGGAAGGGCTAAGCGATCCAGGGGTGACATCGCTGGTCCACCCGTCATAGCCGTGATCGGAGACGTCCCACCGAGGGTCTCCGATGGGCTCTGGTTTAGCACATGCATCACTACCGGCACAATCAGTCGCCACTGATCGGGTTGCATCAACCATTCCGAGAGAAGCGCTCGGAATTTCTTCAGGGTCGTTTTCATGGCACTTTCGACTGTGCCATTTGCCCACGGACATCTTGCCGTGGTAAAGTGGTGATGAGCTCCAAGGACATGTTGGAGCTCGGCGATCACTCGTTCTTGAAATGCGACCCTCGGTCGCTGACCCAATGATAGCACATGCCAAACACACTGAACCATTGCAGCAAACAACGCGCAACCACTTGCGCGTTGGCAACGTCCGTTTCCCACAGCCGCTTGAATTGGCTGAAGTCGTCCTTGGCTACGAGGATGTAGCCACCGTCCATGAACAAGAAATCCCAATGTAGGATCTCGTTCGGCTTCGTGGCGTGGACCGTTGCTCCAAACGGTCTCAAAACATGCCCACCGGTGCTGGCACAATGCAA